CTCAAAAGGGTTCTATATATCACCATCTACAGCATGTTCTCCACCAATCTGAAGAACCCTTTTTCCTTCAATCATGTAAAGGGTTCTTTGAGTGTGCAGGTTTAGCTCATCTAAAGGAGCAGCCTGTGTTGCTCAATATCAGTGAACCAAAGTTTCATCTGGGCTGTTTCTGAATGATAATAAACATGTAATAAGAGAATTTTCAAAACATAAGAGCTGCTTTTAAGTTACAGACAGAGCTGAGTAATACAACGATATGTATTGTTATTGTGATGAATGTTTTCTGAGCGTATCAAACACCTTCAGAACTTAAAGAACAATGAAACACTGCACGTTCTGTTAAAAGAGCCTAATTAGTCCTGTTTAACTGGATTTAGAGCAGCACAGTGTGTGGAATGTTGAACGTCACTGTATTTGTAGTTTTTTAATAATAATTTTTAAAAGTTTTAGTGATCCCATCAGATGTCTACGGCAGTCTGGAGAGGCCACAAGGTAGTTATAATTTTCTGGATTGTTATTCTGAGATCATGACTTAACTAACTTGTGACCTCAAGATAAAGTTGTTATCCTGAGATAATGAGTTACATATCTTATCATCTCAGGAAAACACTTATCTTGAGACCATGAGTTAATTATCTTGTGATCTCAAGATTACAACGTTCTTATCTTGTTAAATATCTTGTGACCTCAAGATAAAGTTGTTATCTTGAGACCATGAGTTAATTATCTTGTAATTGTAATACAACAAAGTTGTTATCTTGAGATAATGAGTTAATTATCTCGTGATCTCAAGACATCCATGTACTGTGAATAACAACGGCAACCAACTGACAAAGTTTGATTGATGGATGTGTTGTACATGGTTCTATATGAAAAGGGGTTCTATACAGCACCAAAAAAGGTTGTTCTATTGTTACGATGTCAAGCTTGTTACAACAGCACTGCAGTAACACTGACGTGGTGGTGGTGTGTTAGTGTGTGTTGTGCTGGTACGAGTGGATCAGACACAGCAGTGCTGCTGGAGTTTTTAAACCCTGTGTCCACTCACTGTCCACTCTATTAGACACTCCTACCTTGTCAGTCCACCTTGTAGATGTAAAGTCAGAGATGATAGCTCATCTGCTGCTGCACAGTTTGTGTTGGTCATCCTCTAGTCCTTCATCAGTGGTCAGAGGACGCTGCCCACAGGACGCTGTTGGCTGGATATTATTGGTTGGTGGACTATTCTCAGTCCAGCAGTGTCACTGAGGTGTTTAAAAACTCCAGCAGCACTGCGGCACCAACAGCTGCAACACACTAACACACCACCACCACGTCAGTGTTACTGCAGTGCTGAGAATGATCCACCACCCAAATAGTACCTGCTCTGTGAGGGTCCATGGGGGTCCTGACCACTGAAGAACAGGGTAAAAGGGGGCTAACAAAGTATCAGAGAAACAGATGGACTACAGTCTGTAACTGTAGAACTACAAAGTGCACCTATACAGTAAGTGGAGCTGATAAAATGGACAATGAGTGTAGAAATAAGGAGGTGGTCAGAATGTTATGCCTGATTGGTGTGTATCAGTGACCCAATGACGCATGATAAAGCCGTTAGAATTAGCTACATTGCTAACAAATAGACTAATACTACTCACTGCTGCCCTCTAAAGGCCTCAGCGTACTTCATGCTGAATGAAATTCTCGAGGGTTGTGTGAAGCCGAAAGCGCCTTCGCCAGCTTACAAGCTCGCATACTTCCTGCGGTTTCGTGTCGCGGATGCTCCACAGGTGGCGCTATGACATTTTATGCTAAGTTTCATGGCTGCCGGAAAACAATTCTATCACAGTTCTAGCTATGGCGGCGTTTGGGTCCAGAATGCTGCCATCATTTAAGGTGGAACGGGAAAATTAGAACAAGAAGCTGATGAACAGAAAGCCAACTTCAGCCTCGTCCCCCTGTGAACCTGAATATAAGATACCCTGTATGTTGTGGTGCTCAGTACTAGTCAGTACTACCGAATAAGAGACTTACCATCTGACATTTAGGAGATGCTCATTGTTTATTTAACAAATATGCGTTTCACAGTGAGATATTAGTGTCTGCTGAAGCTGAAGTTGTCCATCTTTGTTTAATGGCACGCCTCTTTTTTACTGACCAATCAGAGGCTCTGTCGCATAGCGTCTTCGTCCACGGACCTTTAAGGCCTCAGCAGACTTCTTGTGGAGACGATGTTCGTCTGGCTTCAGGAACAACGTGACATAATTGCGGAGAAAACAAACAACCGCAGACGTCGCACAGAGGCTTCGTTCGCCCAGCTGCCATGTGCGAGACACGGCAAACGAAGCCTCTGCGCGATGTCTGCGGTTGTTTGTTTTCTCCGCAATTATGTCACATTGTTACTGAAGCCAGACGAACATCGTCTCCACAAGAAGTCTGCTGAGGCCTTAAAGGTGTCATAGCACCAAGTTATGAGTTAGAAACTTTGTTAATTAAACCTTAAAGTATTAAATTCTTTCTTTTATTTTCATTTATTTGACGCGCCCAATTCTGTTTGTTACGACATAATATGACTGTGAAACCAACGAAAGTGGAAAACGACAGCCATCAGTTTAAACAGCTGCAATCAGGCGATTAAGCAAAGACTGTGACGATCCTGTATAACCCCTAATCTAAACATTACACCAGCGTATCAGTCCATAGTGTGACGTTTGTGAAATTCTGTTTTTAGAGCTTCCTCACATTGTTTTGTTTTCATTCAAGCAGAGCCTAGTAACTGTTTACGGTCGAAGGCCTCAGATCAATAACTGATATTACTGAAAACCAAACTTAAATAAGCGTCAATATTACACAAAGTACTGATCTTCTGATCTCTTTCACGTGACGTGATTTTAATGTTATGTACCATGAAGGGAAATGTAGCTATAAGGTGCTCATATGTGCTACTTTGTGACTGAATCTGGATCACAAGGATCACATCACGATAATTCTACAGAAAATAATCAGTCGGCTACATTTACATCATCGCCCACGCTAGGGCTGAACGATTTGGGCAAAATATCTAATTGAGATTTTTCTGACCAACACTGCGATTACGATTTAAACTGCAGTTGTTTATAATTGAGGTGGGTAATAATTGAGAAGATCTGCATATATTTTTTTTTCTGGCTTGAGACTTGAACTGTTAGCATAGTTAACCAGCCTGCCAGGTATGTTATTCGTGGTTGTGATGTCACAGCAGTTCGCAAGCTCCACGTTATTAGGTCAAATTTCCCTATTTAAAACTTGATTTAAAAAAAAAAAATATTTTTAAAAAATTGCAGATTTTTAAATTGCGCTCTTTTAAATTGCGATTCCGATATTAAAAACGATGAATCCTTCAGCCCTAGCCCACACTGATCCATCACCCTAATCTTCAATTTTATTGCAAGACGACACAGTTCGATATACTGACACTACACCATTTAGGCTGAAACTGAATTTGAAACCGCTTAAAACTGTATCGCCAATGTGAAAACAGGTGTATCGGTACATCCCATATACTATCCTATGATACTGAATCATCCACGCCATCAAATATCAAAGCATTTTCTTAAAACATCTTAAAGCCGACACTCCTATGAGCTATGAGCAGAAATGGTGCTGTTTATATGGTAATATCCCAGTTATTTATACCAACACGGTCATGAACAAAGATAATTCTGCCTTTTTAGCCACCATGCGGCTTATGGTCATCTCGAGAACAGTCTGAAGGAACGCCTGGTCACCAAAATAGGTGAAAAACTCAAACAACAAGCACAAAGTGGCAACAATCACCACACAATCCATGATGCAATGGCACAGAACAGCTCACACTCTTTAACACTGAGTCAAAACTGAAAGAGGATTTAATAACTAATCATTACTGGCATTCGTTCATGGTTCCTGGCCAAACATGAGTGTAAGTGGGGCGAAGAGTTGTAGCTCTGAATAACTGAAAGAACTGAAAGGTTCCAGGACCTGCTGAACATGTTCCCATGTTCTTAAAACATCTTCACTCCTTTCTGGAGTAAACAGCCACTAATCCGCTTAAGATGATATTAAAAACCCTTTAAAACTCCCGTCTGTAGCCCAACGTTACTCCTACATGTGAAACTCCTGTATGTGGATGCACTGTTCCTCATTGACATCGGCTCAGCCAACAGAAGCACCTATAGAAACATGAAAGCCACTGAAGCTGAAAAACAAGCCATCTCAGCCAGTAACATGAAGTCAGATGGCTGAGCTGGTTTGTAATGTGGCTGCAAGTGAAAGGGGACTTCCACCAACTTTTTAAAATGTCTGCATAATCAAATCATTGAGCTTTAAAGTCATTCAGAGCGGTTTGGTGTGAAATGGTTCAGATTTCTTCACAGTGGTGGTGATAGGAACCAGGGGTCGCCATGACTACAACACAGATATAGCCATTTTATCTGCTATCCAAAATTATAGTGAACCTACTGTGTCTTCGGTTGATGATAAAATAGTGGAAAGTTTTCTTTGGGGACTATTTTGCCTCACAACGCCCTGCATGAACCTCAGCACCATAAACAGGTTTCAAAACACATACTTTTTAAGCAGAACTCTTGTAAAGACATCAGGCAGTGAATTCATAACCATTTCATGTAGGAACTTTCTGTGAGGGAGCTTTTAGAGGTGGACGTCTGGTTCCTATCACCACCAGTTCTGACTCGGTAAGTTTCTCTAGAACTGAGTTTTTCACACCAAACCACTCTGAACGACTCTGTTTACACTTTAACCATTTAACTATGCAGAATTTCCGAAAAGTCGGTGGAGTTCCCCTCCAACTTTTCTAGCTCCTCATGTTCTGGCTGCTAACAAAGTCAGCTTAGCAGTCGATTAAAACTGTTAAGGAGGTACTTAACAGCGAGGCTGAGAGCAGAGGTCGAGCTATTACACATGTGAAGTAGTTCGTGGGTCGTTAGCTACTGTAAACACAGGTGGGTCATAATAAAAACAAGCCTTGGCAAACAATAGCTAACCTCGCTAGCTGGAAGGCTTGAGGGTTTCTCATCCACCAGAGGGGGGGGGGCACTTACATCGCCGTTTCCTTAGCCTGCTGCTAGTGCTAGATGGAGTCAGAGAGGCAGGAAAGAAGTGGTGAAGTTATTAGAGCAGAAAGGAAAAGCATGAGGGTCAATCTGGCCTCTCAAACGCCAGCCTCTGACTCGAACTCGCCGTTCCACCTTAAAAGGCGCACCAGTTGCATTGTAACTGCTGCGCTCGTGTTGTAGCGGTTACATAGGAACTGCTGCACCATTTAAGGTGGAACGGGAAATTCGGACAAGAAGGCAAACTTGAAGGAAAACAGGGTAAAGTTTGAACATTAATCCATCCGCAAATGAGCCGAGAGTGAAGCAGACGTTACTCACGAGAGGCGAAGGGCCGCACCAACAGACAAAACAGGTAAATAAAGTTCAACAAAAAGCGGAGAAACTAACTTTTTTGTCAGGTCCTTCAAAAAAGTAGGAGGTCAGTTTTGCTGCTGCATGTTTTCTCGCTTTCTCCCCGCCCCGTGTGTTCTGCTGCGGGGCTACACGGGGTCGGTGTTGGTGTGTTTCTCCTTGTTTCTCTCTCTTTCTCTCCCTCCTGCAGCCTCTCACTGGCTCCCCTTCTCTGCGAGCAGCGTTAAGTGAGTGAACGCTAAACACTCAGCGCACATTGCGCACTACGCGCTGGGCCAAACCATTTCACCGCACCGTAGGGGGGGGGGCGGGTCAGCAGAAGTAGCTCATGGGCACTAATATGTCCCACAATTCAACACCAAGTGTCTACAAGGTATAAAATAGTTCTAAAGTGTGCAAGAAAGTAGACTAAACGTTCATTTACTTACTTTATCTTTGTTCACAAGTGGCCCAAACTTATCCACGCCCCTCTTTCCGAGTGGTTGCTGAAGAGTTGGCACACTTACCGAACCTATCTGTGGGTTACGGGGCTCATTGAACACTTAGGTTTTTGTTTTCCTCGTAAATTTTCTTACTCGTTTTGTGTTTGTCTATTTCTAGAAAGAAATTCCCCCCAAAAGCCGCCATGCTCTCTTACTGCTTTACGACCCTTTACTTATGAGCACTTTATAATGACCTGGATCATGATAATAGGTCAGATTGATCAATATAAGATGAAATTTGCCATAAAAATGCCATCACACAGGACCTTTCCACACCCACGTCTGTGTAATTGCATATCTTCATCAGTGAATTTATGGGTCATTCTAGAGAAACGTCCACTTTTGTGTCCCTAGCGTTTACAGATATATTACACTATAAAAACATGTTAGGGTTACAATTTATTTATATTTTAAAATAAAACAATAAGTTATTTTAACAATTACACCTTCTTGAGCCTCAATTTAGCATATATTGGTTTTTAAATCAATCATATAGAATTCAAACACCACAGAAGAGCTCGTCCCCACAGTCATGTGTGAAGGCTGAGGCCATATTTTGAAGAAAAAAGTTTTTCTGCAATTTTAACTACAATAATCTATACATGACTATAAATATATATATTAAATGACATACAGAAAACAAATACCAAATAAATATCATAAAATATATAATGAAAGTTCCCCAGGAGTCGTGTCACTGGTGTTACTGCGTAACAAAAAAACTCTTATTTTGAAATAAAAGTCACACTGATGACATCACTCGACTTCCTTTTCACCTGTTTTCTGAGGATCTATGAAGAAAAGCTCATGGTGAGTCCACTGTGTCTCTCAGTTATCAGAGATTTTCTCATTTAGCTCATGATTTCATATGAAGCTTTTAGCTGAAGTCACTGGTGTGACCGACTTTATTCTGAGGTAACTGTGAAAAAATAGAATACAAATGGATTAAATTCCATATTTTAGTGGATATTCCATGATTGACAACATGTGGTTTGATGTTCTGTAGCAGCCGTTTAATAAAATGCATTGTTCATTAAAAATGTCTCTGGTGTTCCTTTATTATGTGGAACACCAATGAGGATCAGTAACACCAGTGACTCCTATGGAGAGACAGAGAAGTGGACGTTTCTGTAGATTGACCTTTATGCCTGCAGGCAAAATGAGAGATATTTCCTTTGCTGACACTCTTATAAAAGATGGTTCTTCAAGCGTTCTTCAGTAAAGACAATGGTTCTATATAGATCCATGAATACTCAAAAAACATCTGCATGCTTAAATGTTTCTCTGCATGGTGAAATTGTTCTTCAGATTGATGGAGAATATGTTGCACATGGTTCTATATAGCACTAAAAAGGGTTCTACTACTGTTACGGTGTCAAGCGTGTAACAGCACAACCCTTTTCGACACTAAATAGAAACATTTTCAAAAAGGTTCCATATAGAACCATATACAGCACGTTCCCATTTCACCATGCAAAGAACCATTTAAGCATGAAAAATGGTTCTTTGAGTGTTTGTGGTTCTAGAACCATTGTCTTTACTAAAGAACCATTTGTGTGTGTTGAAGCTTTTCAGTTTTATTTAGAAAAGAAAAGAAATTCAGTTTGATATGTGGGAGCTGAGCTTTAACGTATCCTACACTGTTTAAAAAAGATGGTTCTCTGAGGGTTTAGTGAAGAAAATAGCTCTATAAAGAACCATGATCAGTCAAGGAACGCTTTGCGTGATTAAAGGGTTCTTTGCATCATGAAAGGGTTCTTCAGAATGTGCTGTAAATAGCAGCCAAAAGGATTCTCGTGTTGTTACCGTGTCAAGCTTGTAACACTGAGGGAACCCCTCTTGGGTGCTAAGGTTCTACATAGAACCAAATACAACATATTCTCCATCAATCTGAAGAACGCTTTCATGATGCAAAGAACCCTTTGATTAAAAGGATTAGAGTACCCTTGAAGAACCATCTTTTTTAGAGTGTACTGTTATTGTGTAAATGGCTATTTTCAATAAAATAAAACAATCATTAATAAAAACTGTATGTTGGTCAGAGTTAAAGGGCCCATATCGTAGAAACGCTCTTTACACAGAAAAAGTTAGATGTAGTATATAAACACTGTTAGTTCTATAGTGTAACCAGTCCATGCAGTCCATACACCGGTCAGGCATAACATTCTGACCACCTCCTTGTTTCTACGCTCATTGTCCATTTTATCAGCTCCACTTACTATATAGGTGCACTTTGTAGTTCTACAGTTACAGACTGTAGTCCATCTGTTTCTCTGATACTTTGTTAGCCCCCTTTTACCCTGTTCTTCAGTGGTCAGGACCCCCATGGACCCCTCACAGAGCAGGTACTATTTGGGTGGTGGATCATTCTCAGCACTGCAGTGACACTGACGTGGTGGTGGTGTGTTAGTGTGTGTTGCGCTGGTCTGAGTGGATCAGACACAGCAGTGCTGCTGGAGTTTTTGAACACGTCAGTGTCGCTGCTGGACTGAGAATAGTCCACCAACCAAAAATATCCAGCCAACAGCGTCCTGTGGGCAGCGTCCTGTGACCACTGATGAAGGACCAGAGGATGACCAACACAAACTGTGCAGCAGCAGATGAGCTATCGTCTCTGACTTTACATCTACAAGGTGGACTGACAAGGTAGGTGTGTCTAATAGAGTGGACAGTGAGTGGACACAGTGTTTAAAACTCCAGCAGCACTGCTGTATAAAAATGTTTTGTGATAATAATGCCTTTTCAAAACCATTTTGTGCAATAACTTCCTGTGAGGGAGCTTTAGAGGCATTAACCTCTTCATGGATCTGATTCCCATCACCACCACTTTTAATGATACGGAGCCCTGCTGGTGACATCCCATACAGTCATGGCCGAAAGTGTTGGCACCCCTGAAATTTTTCCATCTTTTCCAAAATGAAGTACATCTCCCAGAAAATTATTGCAATTACACATGTTTTGTTATACACACGTTTATTTCCTTTGTGTGTATTGGAACAACACAAAAAACTCCAAAAATGGGCCAGACAAAATTATTGGCACCTTTTCAAAATTGTGGGTAAATAACTTTGTTTCAAGCATGTGATGCTCATTCTAACACACCTGTGGCCAGTAACAGGTGTGGGCAGGATAAAAATCACACCTGAAACCAGATAAAAAGGAGAGAAGTTGACTCAATCTTTGCATTGTGTGTCAAATTGTGGAAAAATATCAACAATCTCAAGGTTACAAGTCCGTCTCCAGAGATCTTGATGTTCCTTTGTCCACTGTGCGCAACATAATCAAGGAGTTTACAACCCATGGCGCTGTAGCTGATCTCCCTGGACGTGGACGGAAGAGAAACATTGATGAAATGTTGCAACGCAGGATAGTCCGGATGGTGGATAAGCAGCCCCAATCAAGTTCCAAAGAAATTCAAGCTGTCCTGCAGGCTCAGGGTGCATCAGTGTCAGCGCGAACTACCCGTCGACATTTGAATGAAATGAAGCGCTATGGCAGGAGACCCAGGAGGACCCCACTGCTGACACAGAGACATAAAAAAGCTAGACTACAGTTTACCAAAATGTACGTGACTAGGCCAAAATACTTCTGGGAAAACGTCTTGTGGACAGATGAGACCAAGATAGAGCTTTTTGGTGAAGCACATCATTCTAATGTTTACCGAAAACAGAATGAGGCCTACAAAGAAAAGAACACAGTACCTACAGTCAAATATGGTGGAGGTTCAAAGATGTTTTGGGGTTGTTTTGCTGCCTCTGGCACTGGGTGCCTTGACTGTGTGCAAGGGATCATGGAATCTGAAGATTACCAAAGGATTTTGGGTCGCAATGTAGGGCCCAGTGTCAGAAAGCTGGGTTTGCGTCCTAGGTCATGGGTCTTCCAGCAGGACAATGACCCCAAACATACTTCAAAAAGCACCCAGAAATGGATGGAAAGAAAGCGCTGGAGAGTTCTGAAGTGGCCAGCAATGAGTCCGGATCTAAATCCCATGCTGTTGGGAGAAGGCACCCTTCAAATATGAGAGACCTGGGGCAGTTTGCAAAAGAAGAGTGGCCCAAAATTATAATAGTATAATTACTTATACTTATAATATTAAGTTGAGGGTGCCAATAATTTTGTCCGGCCCATTTATGGAGTTTTGCGTGAAATTATATCATTTTTGGGTTTTTTCTCTGTTTTTTGTGTTGTTCCAATACACACAAAGGAAATAAACGTGCATAACAAAACATGTGTAATTGCAATAATTTTCTGGGAGAAATACTTCATTTCCTGGGAAAATTTCAGGGGTGCCAACACTTTCGGCCATGACTGTATAAATAAAAATAATTCATGGCCACGCCTTATTAATGCATGAAAACGAGATCATGCGTTGTAATGACTTAAGGCATGGGAATGAGATAATTAAGCCGTGGCCACACCTTATTTTTATTTACACAGGATGTCACCAGCAGGGCATCTTAACGATTTAATCGTACAGAAATTTTGAGAAATTGGTGGAATTTCCCTTTAATCTTAAGGAATATTGACAGGATGGAAAAATCTTCATATAAAAGTAAATAAAGACTCTTTTTGGTACATAAAACAACACAAGTGGCATAAGCAGGCATTGGTAGTATGGAAAAATGTGGGATATAGGCCCTTTAAAGGGTGTGGTTGTGGCTAAAACTCAGTTTAGACATAAACATGAGCCAAATCGAAAAGTTTCAATGTGCAACATTGAATAAAACAGATTTCTCAAAGCTTGTGGAC